AAATCGACGCGTGTAGATTAACAAAGATTTTATACAATTAGAAAGACTGGGATTTTTACATTTTTAACAAGCAGTGTAACAGTTACGTGAGTGATACACACCTGATGATGGCCATTTAGGGCCGAAACATGTAGTGTGGAGGAGGAAAAAGAAGTAAAAACTACAATAAAATTGTTGCACTTAAGACGGTATTTGTCCATATATATTGTGCGAGTGTAACAGGATGCTGAAATATAATATTACAAATATACACTGTCTTGGCAATATGCAGAGTTTATTAATATTAAAGTATGTGGTACACATAGTTGTCAGGCCATTGCAGTGAAGGAAACATCACCAGATGCCTACATAATATCCAGCAGTACCATAACCAAGTGGTGCTGCTGCTGCTGGAGGCAGTATGGGGTAATTACAAAGCTTAGATCAGAAGTCCTCATGTCAAGTTCAAGTTAAAATTTCAGTTATCACATATTGTGGAAGTAGTGTATTACCCATTAGATTCTTATGTCACTTTTAATTACCTTGATCCATCTAGAAAAGAAAAAGGAGGAATAGCATAGACAACGACAGCAATCTTCATGGATTTCTGCTTTCTGTGTTCTGTTCCATCCCATCTATCCATCTCTGATTCCAATTTCCTCTCTTGTTTACATTTCGGTCACATAACTTGGCATGACCTGACTCCTCCAATCAATACCCTGTTTCCTATTTCTAGGTTTGGCTGGCTTTGTAAGAATGTGGAGTCAAAGTGGCCCTCTTTTCAGAAGCCTTGTGAGTAAAACGTGTCTAAATTTAAATAAGATCTAAAGGTTTGTGACGATGGGAAATTAGTAATATGTTATGTTTCTGGACATTATTCATCATCCTGTCTTTATCTGAAAACAGAATCGGAAGAATCCGTGCTTAAGAAAGGGCTTAATTTCGCAATAACAGAATGTCTAATTTGGACATGGCACATGTGGCAAAATCTGCAAGATCCAAACTTCCCTCCTGCCTTGGGTATGGAGTTCTTTTGGCAGATCTGATGTATGTTGGAGAAATCAAGACCTTTCACAACTAACAAGAAGGAAATCCACAGCATTAAAATCCCTAAAGAGCAAAAAGTAAATGTGAATTGTAAAAGCTGACAAGGGAAACTTCATGGTGATGTTGAATGAATCCACTTACAAGGAGAAGATATCCAGTCTGCTAGAATCAGGGGTGTACGAAATTCTACACAAGGATCCTACTTCTGAAATTGAGAGGCAGATATAGAAACTCCTTACCAAACACAAAACTGTCCTTCTCACTGCCCTGACACATAAACTGACTCCCTGCCACAGTAAACTGCCTCACCTCTATGCACTTCCCAAGATACACAAGCCTGATATCCCCCTCAGAGCAATAGTTAGTTCTATTGACTCTCCCCGTTATGCACCAGCAGAACTCCTCCACAAAATCCTAAGCCCTCTGGCTGGCAATACAGACTCCTTCATGAAGGACTCAGAACACTTTATAAAACCAATACAGCTTATTAACCTTCAACGCGGAGACTACCTTGTAAGTTATGACGTCAGTCTATTCACCAATGTACTAGTAGAAGAAGTCTTACAAATCATAAGAAACAGACTCAGTATGGATTCTTTTTTCCCAAAAACGCTCACCTTTACAAGTTGAAGGTGCGATGGAACTACTGGACATCTGTTAACAACCATGTACTTCCTGTTTGAGGATAAATACTACCAGCAAATAGAGGGATAGCAATGGGAAGGTCTCTGTCTCCAGTGGTCAGTAACACAGTGTGACAGGTCAACCGTTGTTGGGTGATGGGATGTGGAACAAGTCACCACAAAGACAGACTCTTGATAAACAGTTGGTTGCTAAGTTATGAAGCAGGGGAACGGTAAACAAGACACCTGCACAGGCACAATAACGTCATACTGCAGTAGTGAGTAGGGATCACATGACCTCTGCATTTCTGCGTCACATACCCCCACTCAGCCCGTCACTATGCGACACTCAGTAAATGCCCCTCCATGCTAGGCTGTGATGTCATGCAACAGTGGTAGCTATCACATAACTGTTTTCTATGGAGTTCGTTCCTGGGCAATTGCTCAGTAAACACATTCCAACAATATATTCTGCTTTCTGCATGATCAGTGCGGAAGCTATGTAATGACAGTATTCGGTAGAACAGCAGTCAGTATTTGGCAGCAGTTGAGAGTGGCAGAAGCAAGCAAAGTGGAACCAAGAATACAAAAAGTCGCCCTGTGAGGATGTAAGGTGTGACTGGAAGATTTCATGTGTAATATTTGGAGTGATTTGAAGTGACAGTTTCTGTGTGGAGATCTGCTGCTAGGAGACGACTAGCAGAAGACAGCAAATCCTAGTGTGTGTGCAATAGTGAACTGCAGAGCATGTAAATCAGTGATAGCTCTGTATTTGAGTGTAATTAAGAGAGTGTAACCAAGTTGTTAATAAACCCATTTACCAATCTGAAAGGCGTCTTCAGTCACCTAAACATGTTACAATATTCATGGAGCATTTTCAGCAAATAGCACTGGACACAGCAGACTACAAACCTGCTAAATGTCTCAGATATGTCGACAAAACATTCATGGTATGGCCACATGGACCAGTAAAGTTACAGCAATTTCTTCACCATATCAACAGCATTAGGCCTAACATGAAATTGACAATGGAAGGTGAAGCTAATGATATCTTTCCATTCTTGGATGTTTTAGTTACGAA